CGCTGGTTTTTTTCTCTCCAAAAACGATGTCAACAATGTCTCATGGCTTCTCTTGCCCAATCTTCCGAGCACTCTCCATCACAAAAGAAATCCAGCTGCGAGTGTCTCATGTTCTCGGGCTCGGTCTCAAAGACACTACTATTCAAATATTGCCTGTGGCTACATATGTGTTTGGCCTTCCCTTCTCCAGCGAGAGCGACATATCTTCCTAAATACACCATCGCCGCTAACATGTCGACTTTGGCCTGCACCACCCCAAACATACGTTCAAGTCGGAAATACCGAAGCTACTAAACATCGACACAATGACCCCATGTGCTGGCGTTCGGATTCAAAAATTCAAGGCATCGAGACATGAGCGACGAGTACCGATACTACGGTCTCCATGACCCTCCTCTCGCCGAATAGCGCAACGAGTACTTAAACGCTTTGCGCAATTGCTGGAGTTGGTTGATTACTCCTCCGTCCACCTTGCTGAAACGAAAGCTTGGAACCAAAACAACATGTTCCACAACCCATGGAGTTTGTCTAAAAGCATGGCAAAACAACCAATGATTGTGGCGTCGTCCCGTTCCTTTCAACATTCCAGAGCCGCGATGTTATCGCATCGGGCCAAATACAAGTCCATGTCTCCACATGGGTGCTGTCGCCTCGCCTCGCCTGTGCCAAACACGAAAACATGTTCGATATGCGACCGATGGAATCGAGCGGGCGGACGAAACAAAACGATTCGAAGAGTATCACAAATCACGAAACCTACCAAAAAGATTTGGCCCAACACCCATGTGGGCGGAATGTTACCAATTGCATTCACCGATTCAAGATACGAGACTTTTGCGGCAAATCAGGCACTCGAACGATAACAGGTATCAGTATAAATACACCTCTTTTCTTGACGGATTTGCAACGATATATCCTCTCTTTTTCAACTTAAAAGAGTAGATGGAGATCGTCATGGAGAGGTGCTGTCTGGACTCAAAAATCTCGAAATTACATTCATGGCTCGCTCTGCGCTGTCTGGATTTGCGTGTCAAAAAGACAACCCATCAGCATCATCTATCATATGTTGTCTCTTCAGCTAGCCAACGCAACAGTCCAGGAACGACGCAGTGTCTGCTGCATGTCGTAGAAGTCTGCTGCATGTCGTAGAAGTCTGCTTCTGCCTTCTTCCGGGCTCACGGAAATACTAACTGACAAAACAACTTCGACATCTACCCGGGATGTCTAAGATCCAACAGGTGTTTTCGAAAGCGGCACGTAGTCTCTGGCTGGCTCGTGCCCTCGATGTCTATAAAGTCACCTTCAATCTCAGTACCCTCGTCTCTGCGATAACGACAATATCTCTTCCCGATTTCCAAACTAGGCGATCTCTCTGCCATGAGCAGGAAAGACGAGTCCAAAACTACGAAACACATATCCATGATTTTCCCCTGGGATTTCGGTAAAAATACCGAGAAGATGTACTTCGATGGCACATGACTTTGCCGTCGTCAAAAAGAATCCGAAGCCTGTAACATGACTTCCCAGAGCATGAGACTCCGGGCGCTGTTCGGATCAAACTACGCCAAGTGGAAACACATGATTGTACGAACCACGGCCGCCACCCTTATTATGATCTGCGTCTCTCCGCTCTTGGACCTGATATCCAAGGTATCTCAAACGACGAGACGTAGAATACCATGGAACTACGCATCACCTTATCTCGCACATCTCTTCTTCATAAATCCCCGGCCGAACAGCATCACCAAAACCAATGACTAATGGGACTATGGAGAGGCGAGAGGACGAGAACGAAAAGACGGCCTACTTATGATCTTGCAACGAATCAAACTATTTGCAGTATCAGTGGAATCAAATGACCCAATTACGACGGGGTCTTTGCACGAAAAGACAAATTCTCGAAAGAAGATAGGCATGTCTGCTGTTGGAGATGGACAAATATTACCAAAACACTGGGCTGTGCCGAGCTACAGTCTTTCACGTGTTTCAATACAAAAGCTCTGCCTACATTCTACGTTATAATGCTTGGTCAGCATCCGGGGCTGGAGGTCTTCTATATAAAGGCTCCAGGCTTTGGTACCTTTAATTCAACAACATCTTTCGCTGAATTCTTCTTTCCAAAAATGAGCGATGCCTGGTTGATGACTGTCTTTGTGCAGACCGAAAAACTAAAGGCAAAAGGCGTATGTCCTGCTTGCCGTACAGGAGCGACATAAACTCGTTCATGTTGTTTTCCAAACTCTTTTCCATCAAACGCGTGGTTGATCAGAGCCATGCCCCCTCACTCATGGTTTCGACTCAGCATAGTACAACGATACCAGTCCACGTTTTTCAGTCACTCTAAAACAGTGGTATCCGCTTCTCATGGGTGTGAGTATGCGCTGCGGCGTTACTATAAAGTTGGTGATTCTGTTTCTCGACTTACTCTTTATCCAACCCCTCTCTCCCGGAAGACCACAAAAGCACGAACACGCGACCTATGGTGTTTGCTCCGACTCGGAAAAGTTCTACGAAGGCTCAACATGACTGAGTAGTCGGAAGAACTTCCAGTATTACCATGTGCAGACTACCCAATCATACCGATCTTGATCCGAAAATTTGAGCCGCTCAGTTCATGTTCTGACCAGCCAATTGCGAACCAAAAAGGAGATCTCAAAGATCGCATGACTGTTACCAGCCACTCGTGTCCATCTACAGCTCGACTAGTAGACTCCTGGATCTATAAAATATCCGCTCTCGCACTCCGTACCCAGTATCGCATTCGTGTCTCCAAACTAAGAGCGCCAAAAGACTCAAGATGACCGGCCATGAGATTGTTCCTGTTTTTTCAGTCGTCCTAAAAAGAGATCTGTTCCGAGGTATGGCGTTCGGTTCAAAGAGAGCGCTAGTCGATCTAAGCTCTACATCAACCAAGACATGATCTCCTGTGAGAGCAGTTGCAAAAACAGTATTGGCATCAACATATGCTGATTGGCATCTGAAAAAGCTCGGTTATTCAACGCATGTGCGAGACGGCTGCCAGAAATACAAACGCGGGCTTACTATGTTGTTGCTGTGGATAGCCCTGGTCTGGGATTATAAAGATCTGATCTCGCACACGAACTCGTTTTCTTTTCACATATTAAATTGACCCTTCTACTCAAAAATGAGAGGATTCACACGCATGGTGTGGGCTGGTGCACAGAAGACTATGATGAAAGAGCCATGGACTGAGTGTGAACGCTACCGGCTACGAAAAGTCTCACGAAGAGAACACTATGTCGCGCAGACGATGGGGACCGATGTGTATGCCTAGGCAAAAAGAGCGGTCTTGACAGACGTGAGGGAGTAACGATGCCCGCAATAGATCCCATCGCCAAAGTAAGACATCACCCGGGTCAATGGCGACTAGGCCAACTGAGGATCATCATATACTCGATTGCTCAACCAGCATCCCCCAATCTAAACCCCAAACTTCCTCGGATCCAGACTCCCAATCTGCGCACTCTTCACATCGCCATCATACACAAACTCACTCAACAACTTCCCCGTCGCCGGCCCATTCTGAATCCCCCAACAAGTATGCCCGGCACCCATCAAAAGCCCCTTGACACTCGTCTTGCCAATAAGCGGCCCACTCCCCCTACTGACATTAGGCAAATAACACGCTTGTCTCGCCGTAACCTCTCCATCCCTCAACTCCTCTGAAATAGCAGAGACCTGGTCGAATATCTCCTGACACTTACTCTCATCGCATTGCACGAGATCCGTAGATGTGGGTAGAGGGACGAGGTGGTCTCCCTCGCCGCAGGCGTAGACTTCTTGGTTGGGGCGCGCGTAGATTTCTGGTGTTACGGTTTCTCCGCGTTTGCTGTTGCCGCGGGGCATGTCTATTGAGGTGAAGAGGGCGTAGGCGGAGACGGGGCGTGAGGGGCGGATTGTGACGCTGTGGGCGCGCAGGGCGGAGATGGGTGATGGCTTCCAGACTGTCTTTGTCCAGGGGCCGGCTGTGAGGATGACGGTGTCGGCGGGGAGGTTGTGTTCTTCGCCTGAGTCTTTGCTCTTGTAGGAGACGGATTTTACGGCGCCGGATTCTTGTTCGATGTTGGTGGCGGAGCCGTATACGATCTTGACGCCCTCTTCTTCGGCGAGCTGCGCCATGCTTGTGGTGAAGTGATAGGGGTGCACTTGCGCCGTTGTGAGTGGCGTGCCCATCTCTTCATAAGACTTGATGCCATCCGCTGCTACCCAATCGAGGTCTTTCGGTACACCGGCAGCGCGTAGTAATCCAATTGCTCTCTGCGTGCGCTTTTGTAGACTGACCGAGTCATCTTTGCTCTTGCCGTTCGCACCGTCTTTGCCACCCTTGTTCTTGGCTAGAACACCGTACGTATCGACCTGACCACAGTGCACGGCTCGGTATCCCCAACGCTCAGCGCCGCCATGCTTCTCGGCTAACTCCTGATGAAGTTTGTAACTTAACGGAACGATGCAGTTGGGGTATGCCCACAATGCGAGAAGACCACCAGCTTTGCCTGAGGCACCGCCAGCAATCTTGGTGGCCTCTAAAAGTGTGATGCTGTCTCTTTCTTTATTGAAGTTTGGGTGGTGCGAAAGGAAATACGCCGTAGTTGAGCCAATGATGCCGCCACCTGATGTTGTTAGTAAGAAAAGTCATCGAAAACAGGAGACTGTTGATATTTCTTACCGATAATAACAATGTTACGCTTCTGCTGTTCGGCTGCCATGATGTTTGTTAGGCGCGAAGTTGCTCTTAGCATGAAGGTGTTGTTGAGTTGCGAGAGTGGCGTTGTTGGTGTTGCACTTTTCGGTCAGATTTAAACCGACCACTGAGGTACGTCATAGTTCACATGTGCGCGAATGTTCGCAGAACCGACCTTAGAGGAGTGTACTTGACTAAGATGAAGTTATTATTCTGCTATCAGAGCACAGGAAGGGCGACCTTAGTATCTAAACAGGTAAGGAAAATCGTGAGACTATTAGGATGAGACTGCATCGCCTTAGAAGTCGCCGCCCATGTCGCCCATGTCATCACCACCGCCCATATCTCCTCCACCCATATCATCATCACCGTAGTTATTCTCGACGTAAGTGTCACCACCGTCTCCTGCCATTGCTGATCCGATCAGCCCACCGGCCAGCAGACCTCCTCCGGCTCCAAGGGCCATGCCTCCCATGCCGCCGCCTCCCGGACGCCTGCCACCACCCATGCCACCTCCCATAGGCATACCGCCGCCCATGGGCCGACCGTAGCCTCCTCCTCCGTAGCCGCCTCCGTAACCTGCGTGACCGTATGCTGGCTGGCCGTAGCCATGCTGTTGTGGTGGGTAACCGTGCGATGACGATGAATGGGATGAGCCAGTGGCCTTTCCAAGTATCTTGCCTAGCAGCCCTTTGCCCTTGCTGCCCTTGTCTTGTGTACTCGAGTCGTGGTGTTGCTCCTGCGGGTACGAGCTGGTCTGCTGACCATAGCCGCCGTATTGTGGTGGTTGCGACTGGCCAGGCTGCTGGTAGTAGTCGTTCGCATGTCCGCGTGTGTCGCTCGAGTGTCCGTTGGCGCGCGCTTGTTCTTCTTCCTGTAGCCTCCTGGCAAGCGCCTCATCCTCGCTCGTGTTGGCGTATGGGTTGTTGCTGCCAAAGCCTCCCTTCTCGCTGGGGTATCCACCTACCGCGCCACTTGCTGGAGGCGCATATCCGGGGGGCGCGCCGGCGGGCGGGGCTTCGCCGGGAGGATAGACGGCCTCGGTTGGCTTGTCCCATTGCGACTGCTTTGTGTAGGTGTTGACGTAGAACCACTCGTTGTATTGTGGGTTCCAGACGGCCTTCCAGCCTTCAGGTACCTTTGGCGGGGGAGGGCCCTGTGAATCCCGTTAGCGATGCCATGCGACACCACAGTTGCGATTGCGATGTACATACTGGTGGTGGTGCGAAGTCTGCCATGATGTATGATCGCTGTGAAAGAGCTGAGTGCCGAATGCGTAGGAATGTGAGTAGAGTTAAAGAGTTCTGATGTGAATCACGTATAACAGGTGATGTCGCAATGTGAGCTGCGGGGTGGTGGGCTAATAACCCAGGGCATTACGTGCGAACGGGAGCTCCAGTCGAGTGCGCGTCATCGTGGCGAACGAATAAAGCGCCACGTGCCTGCTGAGCCACACTGCGCCACGGAATCAGTAGTTCTCTTGGAGGATATGCCGTGGTCCCGTGAATAGCGCGCGACGGGTTGGTCAGGAATGGTGGATCTTGAAGGGTATTCTATGGAAGTGATGTCATGGGAAACCTGGGATGCGAACAGCCCTACGTAAAGTGGGCTAGTCCCTAATCGGTACTGGCGAGATGCCGAAATATCCTCACATCACCATCTTCCTAAGAACATGAGGGCTGGAAACTGTAGGCTCCTTTCTATGTTTCCCATCCTCCTCCTGGTAGTTCCCTGATGTGCGCCTCTGTCCAGCCACCTTTCTAGTAGTCCGTCTGTTCTACCACCATGCAGATGCCCGCGTCTTCATACAGCTTGCCACAGTCTTCCCGAACCATCTTCTCCATCTCTGGTAGAGATTCCCACGTCGTACCTGCAGCCAATCCTCCCGTAGGACCTCCGATATTGATCATCGCCGTGGAGACAAACGACGATGCCACAGCGCTGATAAAATTGAAGGTTGCTTTGTCGAGGTCCGGCAATACGTTTTGCATCTTCAACACAGCCAGTTGTTCTATAATTATCTTGGTCTGAATATTGCTGGTCATATATCGTAGACCGATGTGCTTCAGGGTAGCCGGAAGCTGCTCTTTGAGAAGAGCGTGGATAGTCTCGGGCTCTTGCTCGTCGTATGGGATGCTTAGGACATCCAAAAGAGGTATTTCCAATGTTTTGAGATTCTCGAAGTGCTTGAGGTTGCTCTGTTCAGACTTGATGCTAGAAGGGAAAAGCATCAACGACTGCAGCGAGAGCTTAGAATGCGCGAATGAAGCGAAGAGGTCTGGCAGAGCGATGTCGGATCCTGTGATTGCATCGATCTGAGCTGGACCAGGTCGATAGGCTATAACGACCAGACTCTGGCCGAGCATAATCTTACGCAAGAGGCGAATGTTCACTCCGCATCCGAGAAGGACAACTCCCTCGAGTTTGGTCGACGGAAGCGCCTTGATCGTGAATTTATGACCACCAGCGGCAATGGCAATAAGGTAAATCTTCCGCAGGTTTGGTATAATGTCGAGAAACTGTAAACTGTCCCTGACGACTGGCTCTTCCACGCTCGTGTTCGAGCCGTTGATCTGTAGCGCCGAAACCTTCTGAAGCGCTGTGCTGGAACGTGAGAGGAAGTGATGCCTAAATGTTGGTGCAAAAGGTCAGTATGTGTCTCAAACCATTTCGCATAGTAGGTTCACTTACCAATCGAGGAGCGGAAAAGGGCTCAATCCATCGATACGAAGGACTTCCATGTTGGGAAGTAGAGCCAGGATCAGCACAAGCTGCGCATCCTCTACACCCCGACCCAGGAGGCGTAGAAAGTCGCCGTCCTCCTTCAGTGATGTGTACCATACAATGCTCGCCTTGAGCGCTGATACTGAAAGCGATGTAGGCTCCGAGACTATACCGGCCTTGACTGCAGCCCCAACGAACAACTTGAATCTCGCTGCAGCTGAATCTCGAACGCTCTTCTCTGTGCTCGTGAACGATGGGCCACTCTTCTCAATTTGATCGACGTCCCTGACTTCCGTGACACCCCGCCATGCGGCTCCTGTAGCAACCTCATATTCCGAACGCCATCCGCGGATATCGACGCGCTTCACCTTCGCCGCCAGGTCGGGTCGCTCGCATACAGTACGGAGGAAGAGATGGAAGGGCGCTTTCGCGGGCGCAGTGCGGTTGAGGTAGGTCTTGTAGAGGGTGTCGATGGCGGAGACATTCGCCTTCTTTGACGCCAGGGCGAGTGCGCGAAGAGCCGATTGGGGGAGGAGGCTGGCGATCTGGTCGAGCAGCTCAGTTGGTAGTTTCAGGAAGCTGGCGGCACCGGTAGTCTGCGCGCTCGCCATGGTGGATGTGGGTGTTGATGTTGGCAGTGTCGTCATCAGGTATCTGTCTTGTTTGGGGAGGAGCGATTGATCGCTACTCAGAACTCGTGGTAGTGTCAGGAGCTGACTCTCCACGAGTTGACCTCAATTGCAAGCAAATAATGGATGTGTATGCGAAAGACCGAATTCGGCCAATGGGACTTGCCACGACAAACGCTCGTGTCGCAGTTATCGCGTGGTTCTGTTGCCAGGCCGACTATACGAGCGCGATGCTACGCAAGTCTATTTTCTCTTATCACAATACTGGCTCAAGCTCTTGTGTTGACGATACTTCTCTTTTTTCGAGAGGATCTGATTGGATGGGTACATATGGAATTCGGAAGTTGTGAGTCGCTCGTCTGCGTCGCGTCACCGCAGTACCATGCATGGGACGAGATGGAAGAACCAGAGTATGCATCGCACTCTGAGTCAGAAGAGGGCAATATAAGATGGTCGCCGCTGCGTCTTCGTTCGATACTGGCTCAATTCGCCGTTGATCTCAAAGATTCAAAGTTGGAGTTCCAACTTTCCAATGTTCCTCGCTATCCTCTTGTTCGTTGCGTCACCCAGGTTCACGTGCCCACAGAGCCGCGTTCACCTTCACTTTTGCAGAAACTTCCACCCCTGTCTCAGACCTTCTATTGTGACGCGCTTTTCATATTTTCGCTGCTGCCTACAGCGCACAGGCTCTTGGCTTGGCGCCCACACACGGCGTATATTGAGTTTCTTCCAGCCTTGTCCTCCACCTCTTTCTTCCTCCACCACCACGCAGGTAAGTGCTCGCCCCGGACTCCCGCTTGCTGACTATCCCCGTGAGGGTAGCATTCCTTCCCTGCGACCTGGATCCTCTTTAGCCTGTCAGTATCCTCCTGGTCTTTGCCCCCAGTTAACACTGCCAGCGATTTGCTTGAGCTCGTGTCTCTTGGGTACTAACGCTGGATCCGTGACTCTCTGTTGTAGGGAGGGCGTAGCCACACTGTCTTGCGCCTGCAGCTCGACAGTGCAGCTTCCCCCACTCATCCCGGTGTTATGGACTGGCCCCAGCGGCAATGCCTCTGTATACGACGGCATGCTATGGACCGCATGAATCCAGAGCGTTGGTGGAGATACGCATACCACCGGGTGAGAAGAGAGCCACAGAAATGGTGTTGCCTTCGGGCTTCCTGACAGACCAAATGGTCCTGGCCTGATCCCCATGATGGCGGTGGCAGCTTAGCACGCCCAAATAGAAGTAAGCGGGGTTTGCCAACCATCATTTGTGCAGAGAGTTATCCCAGCCCTTGGTCCAACAGGTACCCACTGGGGTAGGCACACCCGCAATGGGTTAGCACATCACCGAGATGGAGGACGACATATACATATACATGTATCGACCGGCGACATCGACCGGCGATACCGACAAACGACACCCACCGGCAACATCGACAACCGACGCGGCTATGATCTCACAAGCTTCGGCTTGCTGAGAACTTTCTTCCTGTCATTCGGCACTCATCCAAGTGGTGAGGATCGATAGGAACCTTCTTTTTTTCATTGAGTCTTCGCCCTGGTGGCGTTGCTTGAGGAAGAAAACTTTGCTTTGTGATACTGGAGAGAAGTGACTGGGGTAACATTGCAGCTTGCAGCGCATCGCGTCGACCATGATGACAAGCAGTACCAGAGCAAAGAACAGATAAGTGTTGCGCGAAGCTGAGCGTCTGACAAGGACAGGTGATGAGTGAGATAAGATAAACGGCTAAGTAGGTGACTGGACGCAGGAAGGGAATCGCGGTGGAGAAGTCGCAATAGCAGCATTCGACAGCGCAAGAACGACATGTTTCTGCAATCGGTCAAGTGATTCAGGTATGAGCTAAGATTCGTAGTCATGTCGTTGAGAAAGTGACATCTGGGCCTCCAACATTTCACACCCGTTAGAGAAGACTGAGAAACATTCTGGGCGATCAAGTGAGCACATTGTTATGCGGACGAGATTGGCGATCTTTGACACCCGAGCGCAGTGAGAGAAGGCAACGTACAATAAGCGCGAAGACAGTGCAGTTGTTGGTCGATGGTGTGCGTCTAGGTAAGTCGCGTTACTGCTCCACCGTACTCACACCGATAGCTCACCTCACCCGCGCTTCTACGAACGGCGAGGTAGAGGACGACCCCCATCCATGACCCTCCAGTGAGAGCCTCGGAGGAGCTAAGCACCGAGGCTATTTTGAGAAGAGCACCGAGCCCTCGAAGTGCCTTTGAAGCGTAGTCACGTATCCGCAATGTTTCCATAATCTCACCTGTCTAGAAGCCAACACGGCGAGGCATCCTCTAATATGGGCCCAAGATCCACTCTCGTATATCCCAGAGCGGTATGCCGGTACCAGTCCCACTACATCGTCGTGAGCTTGCGCTTATTGATTCTTGGTGCAACATCCAGCAGGCGTTTCGTGCCAAGTTCTGTTGAGGCATGTGTCCTACGATCGGACTCTCTCCGGTAGTCGTCAGTGTGCTTCATGTATGGCTTCGTGAACGACGTACCGTCATGGCGAGTGCCGCGCTAAAGAATATTGCGGAGCCCCACGCGCCAGCCTCGAGCAGGTTGCATTGACCCATCGAATTACAAGTTGAACAACCCAAATCAGACACCTGGTGCATTGGAATGGAATTCCACGGCCTCGATGCGCCATCCGATCCACAATTGCATTCCTGCAGGATAAGCTGACTCGGGCTTCCATTCGATCATACCAAGCGTGGTGAGGCCTTTACAAGCTCGCCGATCTTCAGGATGTCCGTACGTCATAAGTGGCCATCGTATCAAGCATAGGAGAGCCGGCCAAGAGCAACAAACTCCATGGCATGGTGTACTTGTCAGCCTCGTCCAATTGTTGGGACGCGTCCCACCGTGCCGC